TCTCCTACCTGTAGGAGGCCCTGCAGCAGACACGCCGCAGAGGTCCCGCCTCTCTGAGGCCTGGAGCGCCTCCACCTCTCCCCAAATACGCAGGAGGAGGCGGTGAAAGCGAGGTCCGAGCTGCCCTGCTGCCCCCGCCACTCGACTTCAGACGAGCAGTAGAAAACGTCTGGATGATTTATTATTTTAGAGGAAGCGGAGGAGTTTCCACGCTGTGCCGTGGGCCATCGATTCAGTTTCCACAGCTCAGCCTGTCACAGTTTAATGAGACGTGTTTCGTAGTGACTTTCACGTCGTATTTAAGTGCAGCTGAGCGACTGATTCATGATGAATGCCTTCATGTTAGCGTTGGCGTGTTCTCCGTGTCTGAGTGCTTCTTAGTTTGGGATTCGTCGCTCGGTCTCCTCGTTTCGCTGAATTCGTCACCGGGAAGGTTTTAAGTGTTACAAAGGTACGGCGTACATCGCCATGGTAACTGATGGACTGTTGCATGGTAACTAAGAGAGCATTCAGGGTCACCTGATACTCAGGGCTGGATCATCTTAAAAGTAGAGCGGGAGTCTCCTGAGGGTGTGCTGGGCAGAATCTGGTGATACGATATGTCTCCGGACACAGGGTAGATGATATTTGTGTTTAGTGGGACTGAAATTAATTAGGAAAACTCACAGTAAACAGTCCAAACTGTTAAATGTTTGACATGAAACATGAAACAAAAACACTCCAAGTTCAAAATGAACGGAGAAATTAACATCGGCCGTATCAGAAGTCATGTCAGGTAAAGAAAAACGACTCAAATATCAACTATTTCTTTAACATGAAAAAAGTAACCATGCAACACTGAGGTCTTTGATTGTAAAGTAAACTTATCCAAAAACTGGAGCATCAAAACAAAGCACTCTTCATGTGACCTTAACGTAAACAAGTATGAATCAAACACTGCTTGAAGAATCCAAGTAAACATTAACAAACAAGTGCTTTTAAAATTCAGTGTTAATAAAACAAAGCTCTGCAGTGTCCATGAACACTTTTAGTAAAACCTGAAGAAGAGAATTTACTCAGTTAAATAAAAGTGCTCATGAGACTCGAACATCCTCAGATCTGAGGTTTTACATGTTGCAGTGTTTTCTCAGTGTTTTTGTGCAGGAACACGAGCTGATCGACACGCTCTCAGGTGCATTTACTGTCTGCTGCAGAGCAGAGCGCTCTCATGGCCCCACAAACCGACTGTTTCATTGCGTATGTGCACATGTCGGTGCCGTGCTTTGGTTTGAAGCCGATTATCCAGGGAAGCGATGAACACACAATCTGGCACCTTCGATAAAATACTGTCGGTGCAATCGGCCTGTAATTATCCAGACAGCTCACCTTTGCAGCTTTGTCCTTGGCACAAGTAAAATACACAGCATTGAGTCTGGTAGTATGTCACCAGCTTGGCATGAAGGCAGGCCAATCATGGCATACTCTGACATCACCAGGGTGGCGTCCTTCATGGGCTTCAGCGCCCTGACAGCTTCTTCTGCACGTGTGATGTCAGACTTAATGTGAAAATTCACTCTTCCTGACGTCTGCAGAAAGCAGAGCTGCACAGATGGCTGGTTGCTGTTTAAAAGTCGTTCTATCACATCAGGAGCTGTCCCATCTTGTAATTACGTCCGTGATCAGTCTGTGAGCCGGTCGCTGAAGGAGGCGCTGCTTCCACTGACTGCTGGCTGCGGTGCTGCGCCTGGAAAAGGCCGTTACACGTCGGATCCTCCCGAGAAGTCGCACCACGGATTGTATTTTCAGTGCTTTCTGTGAGGCGAGATTCAGACTGTGTGCAAAACATTGTATGTGCGTCATGCCTGCAAGTCCAGCTGCGAGAGCCACGTTTGGTGCATCATCGGTAACAACAACAAGGTCCTTTGTGTTCAATCCCCATTCAGCCCCAGCGTCAGTTAGTAACGCTGCAACGTGCTCACCTGTGTGACTGCCATGCATGGCTCTGGTATGTAGGACATGAGACTGACACTGGTCCGTTATGTGCTGTAACAGTCACGATTCAGTGGCTCTCCCTTTGAAAGCTTTGAAACATTACTAGTTATTTCTATCAAAAGTAACTCAGTTACTTCAAGTTACTTGTTACTTTCAAAGTAACTAGTTACTAGGGAAAGTAACTTTGGTTTTACTCAGAATTCTCTTGTTAATGTGTTGCTTCTGTAACTGGATACCAGCCAGACTGCCAGTCTTCTAGCTTGCTTACATGTTAGCACTATCCTACCAACAGGAAGGAAAAAATCATGTGCATATTTCCACGAGAGAAATCCCACGCCTGGACTGTGGTCGACTGCCGCCATGATTCTAGCCTACGCCACAGCGTCACGTGTGCTTTTTACATCCAACAGGAAACTGCAGTCGTTATTTGTCCCGTGCACGGTTATACAGGTGTAACACGCAGTGAAACGTGACCTGATACGCTCCTCGACTGTGCAAAGAAAAGAGAGACGCACAGAACTTTATATACAAGGTGTTTACTCGAGTGTGACGTTATTCAGGTCTGTGTTCCAATTTAAGCCGAATGCAACACACAAAGTAACGAATAACGAGCCTATCGAAATCCCAGTAACGATGAAAGTGTTCCTGATTTTGGCATAATAACCAGTTACCGTGCTCATTACCTCAATAATAACTTAGTTACTGTAACGCGTTACTTAATAACGTGTTAGTCCCTAAACTGGTCATCAGTGAGCTAGCACAACTGGCGACACATCCACTTTGGTTTTGGCAAACTAGACGCTTCTACAGTTATTGCGACACCTCGTTTTTCCGTCAACGTAAAGGCGGTAAAAACTGCAAACTAGTGGCTGGTTTTAATGCAACATACAAAAGAAATACACAGTAAATGCATGTAATTTTTTCAATTAAAAAAAAAATCGATAACACTGATTTTGAATATCGATTCAGTATTATTACACGAAATATCACGATATTTCAATGTATCGATATTTTCATACATCCCTATGTCTCCTGAATCCTCTTTGTCCTTCCAGACCTCGGACAGCAGCACATCTGTAAGGAGGAGGAGGAGGAGGTTCTCCCTGAGCAGCAGCTCTGGAACCAGGAGAGGAGCTCCAGTGTGGAGGAACCAGAAGCTCCACAGATTAAAGAGGAAGAGGAGGAACTGTGCAGCAGTCAGGAGGGAGAGCAGCTGGGACTGAAGGAGGAGACTGATACCTTTATGGTGACTGCTGCTGAGGAAGGAGAGCACAGTGAACCAGGAGGAGATGAGGAGCAGCTCCTCTGTGATGACTCTCCTCAAAGTGAAAGCACGGATGAAGAATCCAGCAAGTGTGAAGAGTCAGGGTTAAGGGAAACTGAGGAGCCGGTTCCAAAGAGACAAAAGAGAGACAGACGTCCTGGTGTTGTAGAGAGCGCGCCCGTCTCAGAGAGTCCATGTGATGCTGCCACAGGTCGAAAGTCTGATGTTTCTAAGAATCAATCCCGGGGGAAAAAACACCAGACCAATGTGAATTCACTTGTTTGCAAAATATGTGGGGGAAAATTTAGTCGAACCTATTTGGCTGTCCACATGAGAATTCACACAGGTGAGAAACCATATTCTTGTCATACATGTGGGAAACGTTTTAATCAAAGCAGTACTTTGCGTAGCCATGTGAGAACCCACACGGGTGAGAGACCTTATTCCTGTGATACATGCGGGAAAAGTTTCGGTCAGAGTGCTGCATTGTATATCCATCAGGCAGTTCACTCAGAAAGACTGTTTTCCTGTGATATATGCGGAAAAAGTTTCAGTCATAAAAACTATTTGCCCATCCACATGACCACTCACACCGATGAGAAGCCGTATGTTTGTGAAATATGTGGGAAAACATTTGGTAACAGCTCTGTTTTTTACAGTCACAGGAAAATACACCAAAGTAGGGAATCGGTTTCTTGTGAAATATGCGGGAAAACATACTCAGAAAAACGTGCTGTTAGACGCCACATGCGAACTCACACAGGTGAGAAACCGCATTCCTGTGAAATATGTGGGGCAAGATTCTCTCAATTGAACAATTTGAAAAAGCACAAGGAAAAGCACACGGGCGAAGGGCCGTATTGCTGTGACAAATGTGGGACGAGGTTCAATCGGGGCAATCACCTTTTCCTCCACAAGGAAACGAAAATATGTGAGAAGCCGAGTTCCTCTGAAACAGGAGAAGAGTTTCAAAGAAATCCTTCATCCACATGAGAACTCGCACAGGTGGCAAGTAGAAATACCCGTGAACGAAGCTTGAGGAACAAACGTGTCATTTTTATGAGATTGGAGAAAAAAACATAAATATGAGCACCAAACTTTTTTATTGTGTGATTCTGGTTTTATAATTTTTTTAAATTGAAAGTGAGCTCGTGAGGATGGGCAGGGGAAGCTGCTCTTCTTTCCCAGGTTGACAAATCGCATTGTTGTTATTTTGTCATTTTCTTTTGTTCAAATGTGTGAACTTGATTGAAAAATATGTAGGCGTAGTGTTTGTTTGATGTTGTATTCCTGTTTGTGGTTTTATTGACGCGCTGAAGCTGAAAAGCAGTTTTCGCTTCTGCGTTTGTATTGTGTGATTTCATCAGCCGTCAGAGGTGATCAAACTGCCCCAGTGTAACCTGATGAACGTGCAGTGTAAATAAAGTTTGTTTCTCTCAGTTGCTGCCTGCTGTGGATTTGATCCTTTGAAACAGCCTCCTCATAAAGCCTGTTTGGATGTGGTGACTGTGCAGTCAGAATGAAGCTGTGAGGTTTGAATCTGAGTGTGGATGCTGAGGAGGATGTGCTGTGACAGGACTGCAGTCACAAGCCTGTGCATTTAAAGAGGAGTGAGGAAGCTCACGGGAAACAAAGGCTTCTGCAGGTGGAAGCCACTGAAAAGTTTCTCACTAGTGTTGTTTTGTTAGGGTCAGTGTCACCACTCGTCGCGTGAGGTCATACCTGGATTCCACAGAGGTCGCACAGCCGACTCCTCCAGGTGTCGCATCGATATACGTGGCAGAAAGTTTGCTTTGTCTTGCAGTCTCAGGAGCACGGAGGAGATTCCAGGAGAGCTGGACAGGGTCTTAGACGCCCTTTGGCCATTATGAGGACCAATGTCTGCTGCTGTGTGCCACGATGCAAGATGAACACTGAGAGCTACGGTGTGACCTCGAGCGGGCTGCCGGTGTGACCATCTATGACCAAACCATCGGAAACAGGTTTAGTCACAAGACCGAGCCGGCACCAACATCAGGAAGACGTTAAAATTAAAGATGAGCCGTTATTTTCTGCCCGGCTGCAAGAAGCTTCTGCTTTTCAAAGGTTCTAGAAAAATATCGCTGACACATTTTTAACCACTAAAAAGCATTAACTGGCTCATTAACAGTGATGGGAATAACGGTGTTACAGTAACGAGTAATTGAACTAATTACTCTTCCTATTGTTACAACGCCGTTACAGTTACTAACAAGAACATGTGGTGCGGTCGTGTTACTATTTTTGAACAAACTGTTCAGCTTACTGCACCTTATATCAGCTGCAGGAAGTAGCTGTAAGTAATCTGGGCTGTCGCGCTCCCGCGGACGGTGATCACGATCACTGTCTGGCACAGGGCTGGGCAATCTCAGTGCACGAGGGCCGGGGTCCTGCAGGTTTTAGACGTGTCCTCGAACCAACACAGCTGATTCAAATGGCTAAATTAGCTCCTCAACATGTCCTGAAGTTCTCCAGAGGCCTGGTAATGAACTAATCATGTGATTCAGGTGTGTTGACCCAAGCTGAGATCAAAAACCTGCAGGACACCGGCCCTCATGGACTGAGATTGCCCACCCCTGGGCTAGCACAACACCTGGAGCTGAGGCGCAAAACAGTCGCAGCAGTGCTGCTGCTGCTGAGGAAGAATAAAGGAGTCAGCAGTCACATTCAAACAACACGCTGACTGCAAAACCCAAGAGGCCATCGGCGTCAGGTAGAAGCTGCTGCCCCCTGCTGCTCACGCGCTCTCAGCTGATGGTGTCAGAGCTGTCCTCGGCCGCCGGCCAGCGATGCAGGCCAGGCTCTCGGTCCAGGAGCGCAGAGGTCGTCTCTGAGAAGCGCTAACGTCAGCTGCGTCTATCGAGGAGGGCCATGAGGTGGCTGATGGCCGACCGACTGACCAGCCTGATGAACGGTGAACGGTGAACATAAAAAGGTTTAAGAAGAGGTGATTGTGTTTTTAGCTGTTTGCCTGTGTTTGTTTGTCATGGTGACGACTAGACCTCGTGTTTTGGGGGTAAACTGTCCCTTTAAGAGCCGCTTTGAGCCAAACCATGTACTCTGGTTTGTGTCACGCACTGCGCTGGAGCGGCAGCACTGGAGAGTTAGAGGCTACAAAAGTAGGCGTGGCTATCCACACATGAGGTTAATGTGCTGGAAAAGTGTAAGACGCTGCTGTATTTAGCCTGAGTTTGTGGTGCGATGACTCCGTGTTCATGATGATTTCTGAACACGCCACGGCGCCACGGTCACGTGCTTGGTGGTGTAAGTGATGCACTTTACTGTCAGTTAAAGTGTGAATTGTTGGATGCAAACAATGTGCTTATTTGTTTTTGCTCTTTTTGTGCATTTGTTTGTTGACAGGCTGCTACTGTTGTCTATACTGACTGAGTTTAATATGTGCAGATGATATTTATGCTGTCTCAGATCCTGAAAGACGGTTTTAGGCTGAGCCCGTGGAAAAGTTCAACTGTTTCACTCAAAACTGCCGTCATGTGGAATTTACTCTTTATTTAAACTTTATTGGCACAGCAGCTGTTTTCCAGTTTTACTCAGTCACACTGCGTTTGCTCCCATGCTGCCAATCTGTATTCAGACACTCTGCAGCCAGCGCACCCGTCCATGTTTGTGGTTGGGCAGATGGTGAAAGCCCCTCCCTTTAACCAGCTTGATGTACCGGCTCCTCACTGCCACTGCTGGGATAAGTGAATCCAGATTAAGGCACAGCTAGCCTGGGTTTGTTGAGTTCCCTCGTAGTCCGGGGCTCTCGTCTGTCTGAAGGAGTTGATTGAAACCAGCGGCTGCGTTTGGAAAGCTGGATTTCTCAAAACCTCCCAAAATTCAAATGTGTGCACCAAATTCCTGATTTTACCTGATGTCCGGTCTGCAACTATTAGTGCAAAGAAAACAAACAGCTTGCAGAAACCACTCAATCCCGACGTTGCCATGACGTCTGTGTGTTGGTGCCACAGTCGCTCGTTTCATGACCCTCGTTTGGATGTTTTTCCACATTAAAGCATTTATCAGTTACGTCTGCCTCATGTCTCTCACACAGGAAATGGTGTGTGGTGTTGGACGGGGTTAAATCTCCATGTTTAGACTGTGATACAGGGGTTCCTCAAGGATCCGTTCTTGGGCCCTTATTGTTCTCTCTT